GCTAGACTTATTAATTCATTGTGGATATTATCTAATGGTTAGTACAACTCCCCGTGTAGTGGTACTTGTTAAAAATTATTCTTAAATTTTAAAATTAGTGAAAAAATTTATTTTAAATTTTATTTACATTTTTAGAATGACACTTGTTACTTGTGTGACTTACATGTGTTATATTATAGTAATTTTTATAACTTTATCATATAACTACATGAAATATATATATATATATTAATGGATAAATAATTTTATTTTTCTAGTTAATATTAAAAATATATAATATTGTTATAAAGATAAATATAATTTTTTTATATATACAAGATGTTAAATCGAAGCTCATCAAGAGATGATTAATTTGATATATTATATATGTAAAACTGAAAAAACAATACAAAAATTATTAACTTTTAAAATACATTTACAATTCAATGGTTATAATAAAAAATGATATTAAAATGCAATTATTACATGTAACATGACCATAAATAATCAACATATTTATGGATAATTCATACTTAATTATTCTTGAATTGGAAGTACACTAAGATCTACTTAACCATAATAACGAATCATGTAATTTTGTCACATAAAATCTCAAAGCATGCAAGTCTACCACTTAGGTTCAGGACATTCTGAACTAATACATAGGGGATAACTTGACGCAATTAAACTTTTAACAATTGATTTTATTTTTACCGAATCAATTTGGTTGTGTATACATTTTAAATGCTGATTTTGAAAATTATTTTTGTTGAGTCATATTTTATTAAACTAATTTGACCTTGTATAAATTTTTAAGTGATGGCCTTAAGCATAGTTTTTTTTTTTACCAGGACCGGCCGCGCGGGTCGACTCGAGACTCGAACAACGCAGAGCCACAAGCAGTTTGGGTGGGCTATTTGGACCGAGCAATAAAGGACCCGGTCAAAACCCAGCCAACCCAGCATTAACCCTGCCGACCAGGGGCATTGACCCGCCGGGTCAACCCGATTATCCCGGGCCCATGTATTTTTTATTTTTTTTTTGTGTTTTAAAAATAAAACTATGTATGTATGTTTATATGGTAAATATTTAGCATGAGATACATATTATTAACACTTTAATGTACAAATTTATACTCAAAACATTAAATTATTGTTACTTTTATTTATATTTATAACAAAAATACTCTATATATAATTTTAAAAATTTTAAAATTAATTATTTGGTTCAGCAATTGACCCGGTAACCCGACGGTTGAACCAGTGACCCGGAGACCTGCCCAGGTCGATTATCAGGCCAGGTTTAAAAACTATAATTTTAAGAATATTTTGTGCTTTTAATTTAGCCTTTGAAAACTATATATATAACTGTTGGCGAGGTTCAATAAATTTTATTCAGCCATCAATTAATTAAAATAGGACTTCATTTAACAAAAATCTTTATGACCAGCATTCAAATGACAATTATACAAGTAAAACCTTATTATTATTATTAATTATTTATTCTCTAACATTTTTACAAGATTTTAAATTTTGATATTAAATTATATTACAGCTAATGTTCCTATTTTGTATTACAGTTATACAATAACAAATAAATAAATAAATAAATAAAACTGATTTATATGAAAGTTAAATAATTTATAATTAATAAAATACATTTACATACAGTCAAAAATTTTAAAATGTAATACACACTTTATTTAATTTAATTTTTTAAATATCATATGTGTACATATAATATATAAATTTTTGTTTTTCTCTGTACGTGGGCACGGAATGAAATACTAATTAATAATAAAAAGCTAATGATTTCATTTTCATTTATCAGTCAAATGATACCACTAAAAACTAAAAATACAAAATTCTATAAGTTTTTCATATGAGCTAAAAGTCTCAAACAATCCTTTTTGTTATAATTTGTAATATAATATTTGGAATACCCTGTACATTATATAACTTTTAATGTTTACACAAACTTTGAACAAAAATAAATAAAGTACAAAACAAAGGAATAGAAAATAGTAATTTTGTATCTATTTTTTTTAAATGTCATTCTAGCTTTATCAACCATTTTCTAAATAAATGTTGTTTTGGATCTTTTGTACATATTTTTCCATTATTATCCTCATTTAGCTAATAAATACAATCTTTTCATATCCACTCTTCACTTTTTCTCAAAACATTCATCTTTATCTTCATTAAATAAGGATATTATTGACAAAAAAAAAAAATATTCTTAATTAAGGTAGAACTTCTCAAACGACATATATTAAAAATATAAGGTAGTATTTATTAACATTAACAATGATTAATGTTCTCCTTCCAGAACAGTTGGGCGAACACTGAAATTTGTTCCTAAGAAGAATCTTTTATTTTGAAGAACAATTTTGAGAAAAAAAAAAAAGGGTATTATGTTGGTGTAGTGAGGGCATGACTATTAAATATTAATGATGATTTGGATTGGACCCATTGAGTTACTATTTTTAATAACGATTTGGATTGGACCCATTGAGTTACGAGTCCACTAAAGCATTTAGTTTCATTTAGAACACAAAAATAAGAGCTAGTGTGAATTTGGCGGGAACAAAATGGAACTGATTAGTGTTCCCGCCGATAATAGTTAAGAATTTTTAAACAAGTTATTATCGGTCAAAATGAAATTTTCAGTTCAAAATCTAAAATATCAATCGTTATGTTGGCCCGCTAGGCTCTAGAAACTATATCTAATTTACGGATAATGTTATCGGTTAAAATAAAATTTTCCGTTAGAAATTAAAAATGAGAAAATTACCAACTAACTAAAAATAGATATGTCGGTTATTAGAAGGAAAAGAGCTACAATACGACCTCTTGTAAGGAAGACCTCACAACTGAGCCTAACCAGGAAAAAACCAACATGGATTCCCC